AGGAGGCCGAGGCGGGTGTGTCACCTGAGGTCAAGAGTTTGAGACCAGTCTGACCAGCATGCTGAAAGCCCGTCTCTACTAAAAATATGAAAAAAATTAGTTAGGCGTGATGGTAGGCGCCTGTAATCCCAGCTAGTCAGGAGACTGAAGCAGGAGAATCGCTTGCATCCAGGAAGCAGAGGTTGCAGTGAACCCAGATCATGCCATTGCACTCCAGTGTGGGCAAGAAGAGCAAACCTCCATCTCAATAATAATAATAATAATAATAATAATGTACGAAGTATTTGGTGTTAAAATATGATTGAAGCGGTCGAATATTAAAATTTGACCTTTGCATGCTAGTTATTGCTACATATGAACGTGTGGAGATGCCAAATTTGTGATTTAAAATCTATTTCAAATTACGCAGAGATACATTTCTCCACCTGAGTTTGAAATCACCACAATGTTGCACAAATATTAGAATGCTGACACCAAGTGCAGCACAAACTTCCTGAGCATCACCTCTTATCTTTAAAATGTGGAGCACAAGCCGGGTGCTGTGGTCCAGGCCTGTAATCCCAACACTTTGGGAGGCTGAAGCAGGCGAATCACGAGGTTAGGAGTTTGAGACCAGCCTAACCAACATGGTGAAACTCCTTCTCTACTAAAAATACAAAAATTAGCTGGGCATGCTGGCATGTGCCTGTCATCCCAGCTACTTGGGAGGCTGAAGCAGGAGAATTGCTTGAACCTGGGAGGCAGAGGTTGCAGTGAGCCGAGATCACACCACTGCACCATTGCATTCCAGCCTGCAGGACAGAGCAAGACTCCATCTCGAAAAACAAAACAAAACTAAACTAAAAAAACACGGAGCGTAGTAATTTTCTTTCCACCAAATGAGCTTTAAGTGAGATGTTGACCATGAATAATTTAGAATGCAACTTATATGTAGTATTTCCTCAATAAATATAAGCTCCTTTAAATTTAAAATGTTACTTCCTTGAGATGCTATAAACTTTGACTCTTCTCTTTAGAAGAGGGAAAACTGACTCAAATAAAATTTTAATTTATTACTTTTCAAAGTTAAATATTATATGATGCATTTCCCAACCAAATTCTTATTGGCCAGAATCTACTATTTTTGTGAAAATGGAGGCATGAACATGTCTAATGTTTAAGCAAAGAATCTTTAATATCTTTTTAAAATAAAATTATTCCTTAAATCATATTCTAACAATGTCCATTAAAAGTAGAAAAGGATCTCTTTTTACTAAATTGTTAGATTAACCCGTAAGAAGTTATTTCTGAAGGTCAGAATGGTTGAATATCACACTTCATACAGCTCAACCTAATTAGTGCTCATTCTCTAAATCCCAATAACGAGTAAATGTGTCAGATAAGTCAAAATGTGAGTTACTGTTTTAACTATGCTGCTTGTACATAAAAAATAAAGCCATGCTTCTTGAAAATGTTTAGTCCCAAATAAAATCTTGTTATACAATAAACAGAAGCCTTACTTTAACTTATTTACAAGGTTAAATTATGTGCAAGGTTTCTTTAATCAGAAATTTTTTAACATTTTAGTTATGATGTATTGACTGTATTTAGCTATGAATTGGAATGTATTCATGTTTACATTTTTGTAGATTTACTTTTACACTTGTAAATATGTGTTTTACTAGGTATAAACATGTATAATTTTCTTGCTATGCAAAGTAATTAATGCTGCCTTTAAAAGAAATACTTTTTTTTGGTACTGTTTGATTTCTACCTCATATTCCTCACCACTCATCCACTAATCAAACTATAGTAACAATATTATTACAGCTATTAAATAACATATTAGAGATTTAGAATGTGTCAGGAAACCTCACTTATGTTACCTACTCACATTCATATAGTGCTCAAAATTACCCTTTGCATCTGTACTGACATGTCCTGTTTTTCCACTATTAATCACAGATGAACTGTATGTTTCTAACCAAGGCGTGTGCCTCTGTTGTGTAGTAGATCCCATGATTTATCATCTAACCAAGGACACTACAAAAGTAATTCTTCCTCTCCCCAGCATTTCCCCAGAATATAAACAAACAGATACTCCTCTCTCATAAGTTACTGGACTATTTATTTTCTCCTTTTCGTAGAGGTGCCATGTTTCTTGGAAGAGTCATCTTGAAAATAATGTCCGTAAATTTCTTTCCTAGATTCTTCCTTTTATGTCGTTTTTATTTATAAAAGTATAACTATTATTCAGAACAGGATACAAATTGTAGGTGTATTGCTTGGTAAATTATCACAAAGTGAGATCGACAACAGGTAACATTAGAAGCACTCAAGATATTTTCATAGTGCCTCCTCCCAGTTGGTGTCCTCTTGCATTATTCCTCATTTTTGCTTATTAAGAATAATATTACTGGCCAGGCACTGTGGCTCACGCCTGTAATCCCAGCACTGGGAGGCCGAGGTGGGCGGATCACCTGAGGTCAGGAGCTCAAGACCAGCCTGACCAATATGGAGAAACCCGGTCTCTACTAAAAGTACAAAAAAAAAAAATTGGGCGGCGGCGCATGCCTGTCATACCAGCTAGTCCGGCGGCTGAGGCAGGAGAATCGCTTGACCCAGGGAGGCGGAGGTTGCCGTGAGCCGAGATGGCACCACTGCACTCCAGCCTGGGCAACAGAGCGAGACTCCGTCTAAAATAATCATCATCATCATCATCATCATCATCATCATCATCATCAAGAAGAAGCATACTATGTATATTCTTGCATGCTTGTACTGAGGCATTTAAATAAAATTGATTGAATTTTAATTTAATTTTAAAATACACACATTTTAAGTACAAATAATCATTTCAAGGGTTAAACTCAGTGCACTCTCGGTTCCCACCTACCCTTCTCTAGAGGATGTTCTTAAAACATGCTAGTGTCAGAGAGAAGATAAAACGTGCCTCTTGATGGTCCTTGTGCTAGTATTCAACCAGGTGTACTTCATTCACCCTGTATGTGTGTGTTCTCTACCTTAGATGCGATGCTCGAGGTCTCCACTCGCTGTAGTCTTTTTTTATACACCAGACACCTACTCATATGTAACTTCTCTGAGGACTTGTTTGAACTATCGGAGTTCTGGAGCTTCTTGGCTGCTTCTGCCTCCCCAAGTTCGACGTGTTTTTCTCGGGACCACTTGCGTAAATATTCTCATTATCGTCTTCTTTTTTTTTTTTTTAGACGGAGTTTCGTTCTTGTCGCCCAGGCTGGAGTGCAATGGCATGATCTCGGCTCACTGCAACCTCTGCCTCCCGAGTTCAAGCAATTCTCCTGCCTCAGCGTCCCGAGTAACTGGAATTGCAGGCATGTGCTACCACGTCTTGCTAATTTTGTATTTTTAGTAGAGACGGGGTTTCTCCATGTTGGTCAGGCTGGTCTCGAACTTCTGACCTCAGGTGATCCACCCATCTCGGCCTCCTAAAGTGCTGGGATGACAGGTGCGTGCCACCACGACAGGCAGTCTTTCTTTTTCCTAATCCAGCGCTTAAGCAGGACAGGAGTAGGATGCTGGATACCAAATGCCTCTAAGACACTGAACAATTTCAAAGGCTATTCTCTGGAAGACAAGGAACAAGAGCCTCTACTGTGGGCTTTACCAGAAGTTTCCTGGATATTTCTGAAAACACCCCATCATCTAAAAGCAGAGTTTTGATAGAAATCTCTGTGTGCTTGTGTGTGTGTTTGCAGGAGGGAATGATACGGAGCAGTCAATACATTCATCCCCCAACTTTATTCCTTTGTCCTCTTCTGATATACCCATTACCAAAAGTCCTTTTAATGCCTATTTCTGTCTAGTGGGAATCTATTCTTTTCTTCCTCATTTTAGTTTCGTGACTTTATGAAATTGGCAAATGGTGGCAGGGGTAAAAGTCTGTTATTTAGGAAGAAAACTATAGGCAAACCTTTTTTGTTTTTCTTAAATCCCCTGTACATCCTTAATAAGGATTAGTAAATGCTTACATGAGAGAATTAAAAATGATATAAGAATGTCTAAGATGGTTACCTGAACACACTACTGGAAAAATAGTTTAGTTTCCTATGTAAAAAGTGCAAGAGTGATCTTTTTTTCTTATCCAATGAGTTCAGCTGCCTCTGAGTCAATTTCATCAATAAAATTTTGTAGAAATTTGGTATTATACATGACCAAGTAAATTAGAAGTATACATTTCATGTTTGTTGAACTTTGCACAAAATAGAATTTATACAATTCCACTTGAACATGTTCATAATTATCTATTATTTAGTTTTTTATAGAAAAACCAAGTCAGATGTCTATTGATTTTTAAATTCTCATTTTCTTCTCGAAGAGTAAGCGTTTGAATTTAAATGTCCAATGATAGCAAATTTGATACTGTATCATTATGACAACAGCAAAAATAATCTCATTGAGAGATGTTAATGAAATTTCATGTATATTTAATTTCATTACAATTATTTCATTGGTTAGCATATTTTAATGGAGTTTTGTTAGCTTTTTCATATTCATGTGTGAGAGCAAAAAATAGGCTAACATGCTTTAATAGAGTCTGCATGTCTTTCAAAAATTAATTTTTGAACGTTGTTATTGGTTAAATTCAAAGAGGTGGATGAAAATTAGGATAAATATTTCACTTGACATCTTACTCTATCTCTGTGTAACAGAGTTATTTTTTACTTTACAGCATGACTGAGCAGTTCTCTGATTATTCTTCTCTTGGTAAGCCTAGACGATTGCTCTTGAAGCTTGTCTATGATAAAAAGAAGTCATAACGATTTATAGTATACTGTTTAAATTTCAAAATTGCCCTGCTTGTAAACCTGGGAAAAACATACTTGCAGGTACCTTACATCTAACTTGTTGGTGATATAACTAATTGGAGATATGGTTTGACTACATGACTAGGGATATAAAAGTCCTAACTGGACACTTGGGTTGATCTCTCCTAATGAGGTTTCTTTACATATGTGTTGGTGGTTATTTTCCAGAGACAAAGAGAATTCTGAATAACTGAAGAAAGGATCCTGGTGAGCTGTTCCTAGGAGATTTGCTGATGCCCAGGGCTTATCTGTGCCTTCTTTCTCTGGCGGTACTGTATACTTTGCCTCAACAATGTCCTTCATAAGCATGCTCTGTGAAGTCTAATGAGTCATTTCATTATCCATCTATCCAATGCCACTACCAGATATATGCACATTGTACAGCTTCTTCTTAATTCTATTGGTAGTGACCTGTGCAGTCTTGACAATATGCTCATACCTCAGTTTATCAAGCAAACAATATCCAGGATAATTGCTTTATTGAATTTGCCTTACTTAATATACCTCTTCCTTACCAAATATTTTATATATTTTTGTCAGTTTCATGTTTCTTAATCCATTAATTTTACATAATGTCTCAATGCCACTATGTAAGAAAAGAAAATATGTGCTTCAACCCTCTCTCATCTATTTCTAAGTAGTTTCATCTTCCAACTTCCAGCAACTATAATTTGATTTTCCAATTCTATAACACGTTTAGAAACTATAAGTTTCTATAAGTTTCTGTCAGTTTCAAAACTTGTGTTAGGTTTTCAAAGTCTACAACACGTTTAGAAACTATAAGTTTTGATGAGTTGTATAAGGATAATTTTTTTTTTATTTTCAATTTTTGTGTACTAACAGGGAGGCAGCTACTCTGTACCTCTTTAGGGTGTTTGATATAATAGAGTCTATCTTTTGATTTTAAACTATAAAATCTCAGCTCTTCTAACCCTGGGAATTGTGAATCTATACCTCTAAAATTAACTTGAAAATCTCTCACGAAGTGTACAAGAAACTATAACTCGAAGTAGAAGTAATTGTTCTCAGGGAGATAAGAAAAGTTTTACATTATTGTGTAATTTTATGTGAACTTTTATCCAGACTGTTTTCTCTTTCTCAGTACTCGCATTCATATAATCTGATCCATACTCAATTATAAATTAGCTCTTTCCTTTCTTAACAGTATGGAGGTCACTTTATGTGGTAGGATTTTTTTATTCTCTCATTGTTGCCTGTTTGTTGGTTCTAATAATTAAACTCCAATGTAGAGTGCTTGCAAATTTATGATTGTATAATTTTGTCCACCAAGAAGATTTATAGGAAAGAATGGATGATCTATATTAAAGTCATGAAGCTTGTCCTATTTGAATAAGAATGTTAGACACCAATGTAAAATGGCATCCTTTTATATAGCACGGAAATAATTTTCAAAATGTGTGTCACAAATTATATCATAATTAAAACATGATGTCTTTTGATAGATTGTTTTACCTAGAGTAGGCAATACTTTTTGCACTTTTATGAAAGATACATATTACTTCATTTTATTAATAAATACACCAAGCACTTTCCGCCATATTACATGTTAAAGTGAATCTTACTTATATTTGGATGCATCCATCTCAGTGCCCTGAATTTCCTTTCCAATGCAGATTGGTCACTTTTTAGGCCTGCTACATGTTGCAGAATGTTGGATTCCCCAAATATCAACAACACAACCTGTTTCTAAGAGAAAGCTGACCAAGGTAAAGGACAGCACTGTTTCTATGAAGCTTGGGCAATGTCTTGAAGTAGGGAGGAGACGTTAGAATTTATTGGGAATTGGAGATTTAGTTTAAGGCAAGAATTTCAATGTTGATGGGCTTGATTAAGACTGGGTTAAGAATAATGCACGATACAATAGTCTTGGATTAGTGAAAAACAAGGTGAAGATTTTGAAGCAGAGAATTCAATGAATCTTAGGTCATACACTGTTAATTTTTATTGAATTGAAGAGCTGAGAGGTCTTCAGGAAGTTTCATAATGAACAATTAAACAATTTGCTTGGACTACAAACACTTGGGAGAGTACAGTAATGTTATTGAAGACAGTGGAATAGCAAAATCATTCTATTTTAGTGTTATGGGCTCAAATATGTCCCTCCAAAATGGATGTATTGAAATTCTAACCACTAATATTTTAGAACGTGATTATATTTGAACATAGGGTCTTGAAAGAGGTAATTAGGATAAAATAAAGTCATAGGCATGGGCCTTAAAACAATCTCACTGGTGTTCTCATAAGGGGGAGAAATTTGGACATGGATATGCATATTCACAAAGGAGCAACCATACTAATGCCAAGGGAGGAGACAGTCATCTATGAATCAAGGAGAGAAGCCACAAAATGAAACTAATCATGCCAGCACCTTGATTTCAGTCTCCCAGCTTCAAGAATTTCTGAGTAAATATTGACCTTGTCTACCCACTTTGAGTTTCTGTTGTTTAAGTCATTCAATCCATGGTATTTTTTACAGAAGCCCTAGCAAATTAACATATGCAGGTAAATGGTGGATTGGTAGTTTTGGTCCCCCTGTATTCAGGTTAAATGTGGGGGTGGGCATTTTGATTCAAAACATATATTTTCTTTTTAGCATACTCCTGATTTTAGTTCACTGTTTATGCATACCTATGTATTAGTTTTAATTTGTCTGTTGGTAATATATATTTTTCAAATGTTTTCATATATTTGCCTAATGTTTAGTGTTTTTCTGACCTTATATTTGATTGGCATTTTACTGAGTATCAAATTTATGTTCTATTTTACTTCCTCTTAAATATTATTCAGTTGTTTTCTAGCACTTTGTTATTGAAAAAAATTAATGTTACTTTAATACAAACTATAAATGTAACATATACACATTTTTTCTGTCTTACATTCTAAAAATCTTTAAAGGATGATTATTAATACCTAGTGATTATTAGTTATCTACATAATTATAGACATTGTCTTTATGTTAGTCAACTCAGGCTGCTATTGTGTTTTTCTTATATTTATTTATTTATTTTAATTTATTTTTTTGAGATGGAGTCTCGCTCTGTCGCACAGACTGGAGTGCGGTGGCCCAATCTTGGCTCATTGCAACCTCTGCCTCCAGTGTTCAAGCAATTCTCTGCCTCAGCCTCCCAAGTAGCTGGAATTACAGGCACCTGCCAGCACAACTAGTCAATTTTTGTATTTTTAGTAAAGACAGGGTTTCACCATCTTGGGCAGGCTGATCTTGAACTTCTGACCTTGTAATCCACCCTTCTCAGCTTCCCAAACTTCTGGGATTGCAGGCATGAGTCACTGCACCTGGCCTCAGGCTGCTGTTTTAAAAACTAGCATAGACTAGGTGGCTTGTGAAGAAAAGGTATTTATTTCTTACAGTCCCGGAGGCTGGCAAGACCAAGATCTAGGTATCCACAGATTCAGTGTGGGACCTGCTTCTTGATTCACAGATGGCTTTGCTTTTTTTTTTTTTTTTTTTTCCCGCTATGTCCTTACATTGAAAGGAAGGGGCAAAGGAGTTCTCTGGGGTTCCTTTTATAAGGGCTTTTATCCCATTTGTAAGAGTTGTCCTCATGACCTAATCACTTCTTAAAGGCCTTACCTCCTAGAGTCCTCTCACTGGGGATTAAGATTTCAGTAAGTGAATTCTGGGGGACACGAACATTCAGTGTATAATATTGTTCCTAACTGTGGCTGCACACTAAAGTAAGGCATCAGAGAAACTTTTAATAGATAGCAAGACTGGATGCCAGACCAACTAGATAAGATTCTATGAGGGAGGGCCCTCTCAACCTCATTCTAAGTATTCTCTAAATGATTACAGCATTATTGGGAATATACATACATTCCTCTTTATATAGGAATGCCATGTTTACCATCTTGACTACTAGAATCAACTTAAAATTAGCGAAGTGCAGATGATAGATTTACTTTTGCTCGGTTGAAACTATGCTAGGAATTCTTGTGTTTTCTAGGCAGATAATTCCACTTTTTTAGATCCCTATTCTGGAAGTCAGTGTTGAAGTGACAATAATTCTATGCAACAAGTGGGAGAAGTTATTAATAAAAGCTAATGTAGCAGGACGAGCCACAGACAAAACCCCTTAGACACCGTGTTAAAGAAGGAAGAGGCTTTATTCAGCCAGGAGCCTTGGCAGACTTGTGTCTCAAGAACCAAGCTCTCCAGAGAAAGAGTTCCTGGCCTTTTTAAAGGCTTACACCCATAAGGGGTCCACATGAAAGGGTCATAATAGATTGAGCAAGCATGGGGTATGTGACGATGTCCACATACGTTAGCGGTGGGGGTAAGCAATGCAAGTATTTCTGCGTACCATTGTCTGTGATCTATAGATAGCACAAGCAATTAGGGTGGGGGTTAATCTTTAACCTACAGGCCCTGCCAATGGCACTGACCAGTCTGTTGTTTTTCAGCTTTCACTTGCTCCTTCTCTTTGGAGACAGGGGACAGTAAGAGAAATGGCCTCTCTCCTCAATAACAAAGAATAATTAACAAAAATTACAACTGTTGGCATAACCTTCTGTTAATACTCTGCTAATGCCTTCCTCTGCTATTCAACTCCACATGTCCTTCCTCTGTATTCCCAGCTTTGAGCTTCTTGAGGCTGCTACTGGGGAGAAGAGTGCTTCTGCAACCATTTCCTGTGTGTATATTGGACCGTGACTCCCTTCACTATCTTTGATGGAGGCTTAACTTTCCATCTGCCTCTGATTTCCCAAACATGTGTTAAAATCTGAGCCACCAATTATTTTCTTTCTTGCTACCTCTGTATATTATGTTACTTTTTTTTTTCCTTAAGTAGTCATCAGAGGGAAAAAAGAGAAATATATTTGATATATAACAGACATTAATGCCTTTCACATTATGCCCCTTTTCAATTGTCTCAGAGCACAAGGCTGTAGATAAAAGCTGTTAGGATAGAATAAAATAAAACCATACTTACATTGTGTTTACGGAAAATATCTGTTTATATGCGTGTTTTTGAAATTTAGTATGGAAGGTTTTTTTTTTTTTTTTGAATGAAAAAAAAAGGTTCAAACATTTTAATCTATTGGCCTCCAAGGTACGACTTTGGTGTTTTCCCATTCCATTTATTTTAATAAAAAATACCATATAACTGGGTTGAATTCACTCTAATTGTCACCATATCTTTACTGCTGAGGGATTTCTTATCCTGTGATTTCATCTTCTATCTGTTCATGAATAATTTTCAAAAACGAAGCTCTCAGATTCAGACAG